ACCTGCCCCACCCGCAACCCACCTGCCCCACCCGCAACCCACCTGCCCCACCCGCAACCCACCTGCCCCACCCGCAACCCACCGCCCCACCCAACCCACCTGCCCCACCCGCAACCCACCTGCCCCACCCGCAACCCACCTGCCCCACCCGCAACCCACCTGCCCCACCCGCAACCCACCTGCCCCACCCGCAACCCACCTGCCCCACCCGCAACCCACCTGCCCCACCCGCAACCCACCTGCCCCACCCGCAACCCACCTGCCCCACCCGCAACCCACCTGCCCCACCCGCAACCCACCTGCCCCACCCGCAACCCACCTGCCCCACCCGCAACCCACCTGCCCCACCCGCAACCCACCTGCCCCACCCGCAACCCACCTGCCCCACCCGCAACCCACCTGCCCCACCCGCAACCCACCTGCCCCACCCGCAACCCACCTGCCCCACCCGCAACCCACCTGCCCCACCCGCAACCCACCTGCCCCACCCGCAACCCACCTGCCCCTACCCGCAACCCACCTGCCCCACCCGCAACCCACCTGCCCCACCCGCAACCCACCTGCCCCACCCGCAACCCACCTGCCCCACCCGCAACCCACCTGCCCCACCCGCAACCCACCTGCCCCACCCGCAACCCACCTGCCCCACCCGCAACCCACCTGCCCCACCCGCAACCCACCTGCCCCACCCGCAACCCACCTGCCCCACCCGCAACCCACCTGCCCCACCCGCAACCCACCTGCCCCACCCGCAACCCACCTGCCCACCCGCAACCCACCTGCCCCACCCGCAACCCACCTGCCCCACCCGCAACCCACCTGCCCCACCCGCAACCCACCTGCCCCACCCGCAACCCACCTGCCCCCCAACCCCGCAACCCACCTGCCCCACCCGCAACCCACCTGCCCCACCCGCAACCCACCTGCCCCACCCGCAACCCACCTGCCCACCGCAACCCCCTGCCCCACCCGCAACCCACCTGCCCCACCCGCAACCCACCTGCCCCACCCGCAACCCACCTGCCCCACCCGCAACCCACCTGCCCCACCCCCAACCCCCTGCCCCACCCGCAACCCACCTGCCCCACCCGCAACCCACCTGCCCCACCCGCAACCCACCTGCCCCACCGCAACCCACCTGCCCCACCCGCAACCCACCTGCCCCACCCCAACCCACCTGCCCCACCCGCAACCCACCTGCCCCACCCGCAACCACCTGCCCCACCCAACCCACCTGCCCCACCCGCAACCCCTGCCCCACCCGCAACCCACCTGCCCCACCCGCAACCCACCTGCCCCACCCGCAACCCACCTGCCCCACCCCAACCCACCTGCCCCACCCGCAACCCACCTGCCCCACCCGCAACCCACCTGCCCCACCCGCAACCCACCCCACCTGCCCCACCCGCAACCCACCTGCCCCACCCGCAACCCCCTGCCCCACCCGCAACCCACCTGCCCCACCCGCAACCACTGCCCCACCCGCAACCCACCCTGCCCAACCCGCAACCCACCTGCCCCCACCCGCAACCCACCTGCCCCACCCGCAACCCACCGGCCCACCCGCAAACCCCACCCTGCCCACCCGCAACCCACCTGCCCACCCGCAACCCACCTGCCCCACCGCAACCACCTGCCCCACCCCGCAACCCCACCTGCCCCACCCGCAACCCACCTGCCCCACCCGCAACCCCACCTGCCCCCACCCGCAACCCACCTGCCCCCCCCGCAACCCACCTCAAGTCAAGCTCTTTCGCAATTTACGAAAACAAATGGGCCAATGAATGTGTGTTGTCAGCATACTCGTGCGATGTTGAAATTCGGATGATTTTCATGCCAAGTTTTGACTAAAGATAGCCACAGAATGAATGCTATTATTTAATTAATTTTCTTTCTACGTGACTTTACCGAAAGAACCAAAGAGTAATTCCTGCAGTCACGAAAGCTCCAAGTCAAGTTATAAGTAAATAGTTTAGTCCTTATTCATTGTCTACTCGGCACTTTTCGGCTTGTCTCTTGCATTGATTAAATGGATCATCTCTCGTCACTGTCCAGCAATAGTCTGCAAGCATTGATGGTCTGCATTTGCCCTGAGAGCGTTTCTCCATGGTCGCAATGTCCTGGTGGAATCGCTCGCCATGCTCTTCGCTCACTGCTACGCAGTTCGGTGGGAAAACATCTCGATGCGAATGCAACAAAATTGTTTTCTTTAGTGACATGTTGCCTTGCGGAGGGTTTCCACCAACTCCCTGTAGTTGTCTACTCTCGAGACTCGCATAGAGGACCCGCCAATGGGGACAATAAAGACGCAAATTTCGTACATTATCTACCCCCCCCCCCCTATATTATGGATGACATTGGTCGCGAAAGCCTCATCCGTGTTAAGCCGAGGAGGCTTCTGTCCAACTTGGAAACAATTGCGTTGCATATTTTGCATTACCTCTCTATGCAAATACCGCAGAACAGGAATAATCGCGTTTGGACTCCGGTTTGCTTTGGTCCCACAAATTAGCAATCGTGGGTGCATGTTGCTTAATTGATTTGTAATCTTAATTGTAAACTACTGAAAATCAATTAATAAAAGTGTCCACTGGGGGGGGGGGGGGGGAGATGGGCGCCCCCACCCCCTTCGTGCCCCCCCCCCGCCAAACTCCGCCCTTGGTTTAAACTGCCTTTGTCACATCGGCGTGACGAATCAAGTGCCCCCATTGTAAGTCGTCTTGCATGGCGAGTCTCACCTCTTGCGTGCCCACCTGACGACATGGCGAGCGCTAAAGAGCGTGCACCGAGTGCGAGATGCGAGGCTTGCCCGCATTCCAAAAAAATGTGTATATTTGTTTAAGTCGACATCTCTCGCCGCTCGTCATTCTTATCACGGTTAAAGGGCTTGCACGCACAGTGACACTTGCTAAAAGACATGCTCGGAATGCCAAAACACCTTTTATGTGTAATGGACGACTTCCACGACACTTCGTGTAGTGAGTACTTCTTTTATTTTTACACGGGCATAACACAGGTCAACCTTATCTTTCTCACTCTGAGTGCAACACTTAGAGATTAGCGTCTCTACTGGCTACACACACGGCCGATCACTCGGCGCGGCTGACACCGTCCACACTCGGCCACGCCGCTGGCTGGCGGCGTGACGAGGAGGGTGATGGAAGCCCTCAGGAGATCTTCCACGTGGAAGACGGCGAGCGGCGACGCAGTCCGGACCCGAGACTCCGCACACGAACCCCGAGCCCCGGTCCGCCCCCGCTGCTTGTATCTCCCCAGGCGCGGCGAGGCTCTGCCTCTGGCCACGCCCTCTCGTGGAACCTTCCAGCAGGTTCCCAGAGCATCGCGGCCAACCCCGCCCACTACCTTTACCCCAGATACCTCTCCCTTCAGATTGGATGTTGTCTTGGCGGTGCCCGTACCCGTGCTTCCCTTTTCCAGCCAGCAGGTGCATCGATGTCATTACACACGTGTGTGTGTGTAGGTGTAATGGCTCTCGGGCAACTTCTTGTCTTCGTTATTTTTTAGGGCGCGTCGCGCAGATAATGTACTCTCATACCGTACAGTACTTAGCTATGACTAGCATACAGTGCTTGAGCTAGAATAACAACAGATACTTGAGCTGGGATAACAACAGATACTTGAGCTAGAATAACAACAGATACTTGAGCTAGAATAACAACAGATACTTGAGCTGGGATAACGACACATACTTGAGCTAGAATAACAACAGATACTTGAGCTGGGATAACGACACATACTTGAGCTGGGATAACAACAGATACTTGAGCTGGGATAACGACAGAGACTTGGGCTAGTGTGGCATGGAGACAGTCCATCCCGATCCAAGGGCAGCCCCGAGCTCTCTCAGCCTCAATCAACTTCAAGGACAGTGCATATCATTATCAGAGTTGTTTCTTTTTGTTTGCATTTTGACTGCTTGTGTTGTGGTTATTGCAAACATGATGCCTTGTATAAAGGTGTCAGTTTTTGTACCAGTTTAAGGGGTAAAAACGTACTACTAGCTTCTCAACAATTAAATAGGTAATGGGCAGGCGTTTTTCAGTTAAATTTATTTATTTAGCGAATGCAAAGTTCCCGAAGCCAAGCAGTTTCTTCCGGTCCTGCCGTATTGAGGGCGAGTCGGTCTCCGCTGACTGTGGATCGGGCAGACTTCTCGGATGTGGTGCGTGGTTTGCTCCACCCCACAGGCACATCAGGGGCGTGCTCTTGTGCCCCATCGGTGGAGGCTGGCGAGGCATGGGCCGTGACCAGTCCTGAGCCTGTTGAGGGTGGACCACTCCTCGCTGGAGAGGTTAAAACCAGTGGACTGCGATGTGCGGGTAGTAACGAGGTACTTAGTGGCCAGGTCCAGTGACTCCCAGTCTTGTGTCTATCAGTGTAGTACATAGTGTAGTGTAAAGCAGTGTATAGAGTGTAATGTATGTTGTAGTGTATGTAGCATCTGCTGCAAGGATGGCGAGCGGAGTTCACTTGACAACGACGACGGTTTATGTTTCTCGACGAGATCAGCAGCGAGTTGCTGTGGTTCAGTTGCGGTGGGCACTTTGTGCGCGTGTGTGCGAAGATGAACCACTTCCCCATTGCCCAGCTGGAATCAGAATATATACAAGGTGAATCGCCCCGACACCTGCCCGCAAATGGATACTCACTCGCGCAGACCCACAAACTCTATCGACTCACATAGAGCTCGATATACTCGCACAGAGCTCTATAGCATATAAAGCTCTAGAGGTCAAAGCTGTATACACCATAGAGGTCTCGAGACTACAGAGCTCTATAGACTCGCATGGAGGATCCACTGAAGGGGAAAACGAAACCAAATGCGCATGTAAGGCGCAACTTTAAGAATTGATATTGTACACAGAGCACGTACGATGGCACCTCTCCATTGCATTTCCACGCTGCAGTCGAGCCGAGGGGACCACCCAGCGGCAGCTGCCCCCTGTACGGCACCCAGGGCCCTGTGTGAGCGGCCGTTTGGTTTTCCAGAAGGGAGGGGCGATGTTGGCAAATCGATTTTTAGTTTTCTCCCCCGCCTTGCGTAAATAGTTGTTGAGTAAAAGTTTGGACGTGAAGATTCACAGCCCAAAAAAAATAAATCATCTACGATTTCGTGACGGTGAAATGAGAATAACTGGGGACCTATTCGTGCCAAGTTCAAAGTATGGAAACTAAGAATCGGCTTTATCACTTTCTTGCAATAATAATAAGACACGGGTTGTGTTAAGATGTGCAAACACCGAATCGATACCTTTTTTGCAAGGCATCAACTCTGTATAAGCTACAGAACCACACGGGTGATGTGCAGTAGTTATCTCTTTGGTAATTCAACATCTTAACACAACTCTTGTTTTATTCAGAGGTTTGTTTGGGTTAGATTGCTTACATATAAATGTGTCGTTAAACCTGCCACCACCCCACACAGACAATGAGTAAGGTTTGTCAAGTAAACAGAACGTGTCAAATTCGTTACTAGTCAAGCACACCTGTGTGTTGGAGAGTAAACCCACAATATTCGCATGGTATTATTGCCAGAAAAAGGGTAAAAACCTATTCTTATTTTTCGCATGCGTATTTTATTTTAAAGTTTTTAATTGTGACAAAACGCGAGCGCGGTACAATATGCCGATCGGTACAATACACCATTCGGTACAATATACCAATTGGTACAATATTCCGATCAGTAAAATACGCCAATCGGTAAAATACGCCAATCGGTAAAATAAGCCGATTGGTACAATACGCTATTTGGTACAATGCACCGATCAAGACAATAAGCCGATCGGAACAATACGCCGATTGGAACAATACGCTGAACAGAACAATGCGCCGAACGACATTGGAGGGGAGGGTGGGGTGGAGGAACAGAAACTGCGTAAGAGTTTCTAAATAAGCGTGACAGGGGGTTCCGACCAACTACGTGCCTGGGAAGTTCGGCGCTGAACGTTGTTTAAACGTTCACAGTGGCTCGGAGATGTTAACTACCTCGGCCTGGTATGCAGGAGGGTCGTGGGGTCTATGCCGACCCCTGACGCCTGCTGTAGATTTTAATTTAGTGCATCTCTCTCTCTCCGTGGTGGTCGCGTGGATTTGTCTCCGGGTCCTACTCCGGGTTTTCCCTTCCACATTTAGAATCAACATCACACTTTTAGAATATTTGGCTGCTGCTATACATCTCCACCCGATGATGATGATAACCCACTTCTTTGCGGCTATCATTTGTGATATGGGCAGCTCGCTTCTGAAAAAATGAGTTTACATAGCTCAGTGTGGGGGCCTTACCTGGTCAAATAAAAAATAGTTGTAATAGTTTAGGTTTTTTTTCTTTTCACGATGGTCTGTGTGTTTTCTTTCAAAGTTTTTATTGCAACAAAACGCGAGCCCGGTATAACGGTACTAAACGCCGATCGATATTGGAGGGGGGTGGGGGGAGGGTGGTGGTGGAGGAACAGAAACTGCGCACTGAATGGAAGTGTGCGCACATGACGGACGACGTGACAAACTACGTGACGGACTACGTGACGGACTACGTGACGGACTACGTGATGGACTACGTGACGGACTATGTGACGGACTACGTGATGGACTACGTGTTCTTGTGGAAGATCGCGAGGCTCCACCTCTGTCCGGAGCAGGGCCGCAGCACGAGGAGGACACTGCCGGGATGCTCCGCCAAATCATCACTCAGCTCCATGCACTTGGCTCCATCGTGCGTCTTCAGCTGCCCGTCCTGGACACAAACACATAGACAGAGAGAGACAGAGAGAGATGTGGAGAGAGACACGGAGAGAGGCAGAGAGAGATACTGAGACTTGCAGAGAGAGACAGAAAGAGAACAAATAATATATGAGAAATAATAACCCTCTAATGTAGATTGTAGCCTGGTTTTTAATCGGAGTGAGTGTGTTGGCAGTCTATGATGTCCACTTATTCTTGTCGCTAAGTTTTGGACTTTTACCGTTGTGTTAAAAGAACCCAAAAAAAACGTTTCCTGTTTCGTCATCGTGGCGCCTGCTGTCCGTACTCTTTTGAGGGGGCCTTGGAAGCCATGTAGAGATTCCCCAGAATGTAAAGAACCAGTGGCATCTACATCTGCAGAACGTAAAGAACCAGTGGCATCTACATTGACGTGAGATGATACTCACGACCTCTGGAACCTAGCGGAGTCTCTGCCCTCACAAAGAGACTCATAGACTCACACACCGACCCACCCACCCCTCGCACCCCCCCCCCCCCCCCCACCAGACACAGAGGCCGTGGTGCCAGAGTGGTGACCTGCAAGCTGAGGAAGCGTCCGAGTTCCATTGCCAAGGAGCACTCCACGAGGGCCGGCCGCTCGCCGTCCTCGGTGGTGCCCAGGCACACGGCGCCGGCGCTCGCCTGCTCCACGTTGAAGCCGACCATCACGAGGCCCGAGGAGGTCCTCACGGCCAGCTGGGCAGGCAGAGGGGCGGGCAAGAGGCAGCCCACGGCATCATCCAATGGCACAGGCCCACGCAGAGACTCACAGACTACTCGCATAGAGACCTATAGACTCACATAAAGACCAACAGACTCGCCACACAGACCCATAGACTCATGCAGAGACCCACAGACTCATCATGAGGCCTCCTTTGCCAGTACCAAAGTATACTAATGGGGTTTTCCCCTTTTTTCTGGCAACAAAACTGACACCTTTTGCAACGAATCATGTTAACATTAACCACAATACTTGCAGTCAAATGCAAACAAAAAACAATATTCTGATAATGTATGCATTGTTCTTGAAACTGATTGGTCCACACCAAAAAAAATCAATGAGTTTCAAGGACAATGCATACATTATCAGAGTATTGATTTTTGTTTGCATTTGACTGCAAGCATTGTGGCTAATGTTAACATGATTCGTTGCAAAAGGTGTCAGTTTTGTTGCTAGAAAAAAGGGGAAAACCCCTATTAGTACCCACAGACTCACCATACAGAAACCCACAGACTCACCAGACAGAGACCGACAGACTCACCACACAGATACCCACAGACTCACCACACAGACCCACAGACGCACCACATCGAGACCCATAGACCCACACAGAGACTCAAACTCAAACAAAGACCCACAGACTTACCACACAGAGATTCACAGATGCACCACACAGAGACCCACAGACTCACATTGAGACGCACAGACTCACAACAAACCCGTAGACTCACATAGAGACCCATAGACCCACAGAGCCCCATAGATGCACACAGAGACCCAACAAGACGTGGGTTGGTCTCTTATAACTTTGCACCGCACGCTATCTGCTCATCACTCTCGTAAAAAGAGACATAGGATGACAGAGAGAGAAGAGACGACTCAGAAGCACCAGGAGGAGGAACCACACACGAGGAAGGCAGCAGCAGCAGGAGCAGCAGGAGCAGCAGCAGCAGGAGCAGCAGCAGCAGGAGCAGCAGGAGCCGCAGCAGCAGGAGTAGCAGCAGCAGCAGGAGCAGCAGCAACAGCAGCCACGCGGTGGTGGTGAGAAGCCGGCGCTGCCAACAATCACCCCCCAAGCTCTGCGATCCTCTACATACATGAACGTGTTCTCGGCACATTGGAGGTAACCCACGCTTAGAAGCGAGGAGGGCAATACTCTAACACCATGTGGAAGGAACAGATGGATATCGCTGTAGTGATGCGTGCAGCCCCCCGAGTCGACGCGGCCACGATCGTAGTGGGCGCTCAATCGAACACTCGTCACGGTGGTGGTGGCCACGCTGCTGCTGCTGCACGTGGTTGCCTGGGTTGGTGGGTCACACACAGATGTGGGCGCCATGGTGGCGAGGAGATGTTAACTACCTCGCCTGGTATGCAGGAGGTCCGTGGGTTCAATCTCGACCCTGACGACGCCTGCTGCAGTATATTTGGAGTTTGCGTGTCTCTCTCTCTCCCTGTGGTCGTGTGGATTTGTCTCCGGGTCCTCCGACATTTACATCCACATTTAGAATCGCATACATTAGTGTGGTTGGCTACGTATGGTGTGAAAGAAGTTCAATTTGCACAACAACCGCCATTCGCGACTAAGTAGCGGTGACGTCACCACGGCGCTTGTGCTAGGCTATGTGCACTTCAAGGCCAGGTGAAGTGTCGAACGCCTGCTGGCAGGAGGTCACGGGACTGACCCAGGTGCCATGGGTTTGACCGACTGTGATGACTGGCCGATGCCCCACGTATAGACACACACACACACACAGCCAATCGAGTGGCATGCACCTGATGGGTGGGGACGTCCTACCTGCGGCTGGTACCCGTAGCAGGAGTACAGGATGGGCGTGTTGAGCGCCGGGTTCCCGCGGTCCAGGCACAGCTCCCTCCGCTTCTCGTTCACCACCTGCGTTATGAACAGGCACGGCTCGCGTGTGGACGTCGGCATTATTCAACAATGACCTGCTCCCGTGTTTGTGTTTGCAAACTATTTGAAAACATTATTGCCCCTAATTAACCTCTCTACACTCCCGTCCATCACTTATCGGTTCCTGGGGGCTCAGCAGAGCCGTGCACACCCCGGGACATTGCTCCCTGCGGCACCCTCACCCATGTCTCGTTGTTCCATCCCCACCCGTCTCGTTGTTCCACCCCCACCCGTCTCGTTGTTCCACCCCCACCTGTCTCGTTGTTCCACCCCCACCCTTCTCGTTGTTCCACCCTCACCCGTCTAGTTGTTCCACCCCAACCCGTCTCGTTGTTCCACCCTCACCCGTCTAGTTGTTCCACCCCCACCCATCTCGTTGTTCCACCCCCACCCATCTCGTTGTTCCACCCTCACCCGTCTAGTTGTTCCACCCCAACCCGTCTCGTTGTTCCACCCTCACCCGTCTAGTTGTTCCACCCCCACCCATCTCGTTGTTCCACCCCCACCCATCTCGTTGTTCCACCCCCACCCGTCTCGTTGTTCCACCATCACCCATCTCGTTGTTCCACCCCCACCCATCTCGTTGTTCCACCCCCACCCGTCTCGTTGTTCCACCCCCACCCGTCTCGTTGTTCCACCCCCACCCGTCTCGTTGTTCCACCCCCACCCGTCTCGTTGTTCCACTCTCACCCATCTCGTTGTTCCACCATCACCCATCTCGTTGTTCCATCCCCACCCGTCTCGTTGTTCCACCCCCACCCATCTCGTTGTTCCATCCCCACCCGTCTCGTTGTTCCACCCCCACCCGTCTCGTTGTTCCACCCCCACCCATCTCGTTGTTCCACCCCCACCCGTCTCGTTGTTCCACCCCCACCCGTCTCGTTGTTCTACCCCCACCCGTCTCGTTGTTCTACCCCCACCCGTCTCGTTGTTCTACCCCCACCCGTCTCGTTGTTCTACCCTCATAACTTTATATTTGAGGCGACGAAGCGGCTGGGCCATCCTGCCCCATGTGGCCAATCTCTCTCCTTTGGCTGCTCCTCCTGTCAATCAATCGGGCTCCTCCCCTCCTGTCAATCTCCCCATCCTGCCCATGAGGACACCTCCCTTCCCGCAGCGCCCAACTGAGGGGGGGCGGGGGGGGTAGGATGAGGAGCGGCTCGCAAGGACCGGCTACAACCACCTGTTTAATTCTTATCTGTCACGTGATCAACATGCGATCAACATGTGATTGGAAAGTGAGAGCCGAAAATAAAAGACACAAAGAGCTAAAGCATTTGGAGCTCACCACGCCGTACTGCACGATGTCGTCGTGACGTGGCAGTGAGGGCAGCACGTTCTCCAGGTACCACGCGAAGCTCTTGCAGTTGAGCCGCTTGCGCAGAGCCACGCGCTCCGAGATGTCGCCGATGTCGATCCCGGAGCCCTGCGCGGTGACACCAACGAGAGGCAAGCGTTGGGGCAACGTTCGACCAACCTTGGGGCAAAGTTGCACGAAGGTTCCGTGTTCCATGGGAAGTAATCAGGGCGGTAACCCGCTGGGAGACGTCGCCAATGTCTATCCCAGAGCCCTGCGCAGGGGTCGTCAATGCAGAGGAGGGGTTACGAGGGAAGGGAGCAGGGTTCGGTCACCACGTTGGTTTCACAACATCAATAACAATGGTTTTGTGTATCTGCTACGGCTTCACAACATCAATGTTCATAATAAAGGTTTCTGGGTGAGATCGCGTAAGTATGTGTTGTAACCCTTCACCACCCGGCACAGCCAGTAAGGTTGGTCACATAAACAACGCGCCAACAAGTTACAATGATAACGTTGAGGTGTTGTTTATGTTGTGTATATAGGCCTTCTTCCCAAATTTATATTAAGAATATTTCTGCCAATTTCCATTTTATCAATCGCGGTGTCGCTTGGGGCAAAAGGGGGTGATACGAACCCCTCTCCCCTCACAACAGCAGGTGCCCTTCACACTCGGGACCAGGCAGCCAGAGATAAGCCGTAAAAGGGAATAAATAAATAAATAAAATAGAAGGGGGGGGGGGTGCTAATGAGATTCTGGGGAATCTCGACATGGCTTCCAAGGCCCCCTCAAAAGAGTACGGACAGCAGGCGCCACGATGACGAAACAGGCAACGTTTGTTTTGGGGTTCTTTTAACACAACGGTAAAAGTCCAAAACTTAGCGACAAGAATAAGTGGACATCATAGACTGCCAACACACTCACTCCGATTAAAAAACCAGGCTACCATCTAAATTAGTGGGTTATTTTTTCTCATATATTATTTTAATACTAATGTTATTCACCTTATTTTGATTATTATTATGCCATCCACGCGACTTTACCGAAAGAACCAAAGAGTATGAATTCTGGATAAATATAAACCAAATAATAATCATGAAGTAATAGACCGAGGGTCATCCAGAAGAATAACAAAGTCGAAATAGCTCAATCACACATAACCAAGATAAAATGTATCCCATAGAGAGAGAGAGACTCCCAACCACCTTTGCCTCCAAGCAGCACGTGATAGCAAGAGATTTAATACGCATGCAAAGGGCATCTCCCCTTAAGGAATTCCAAACCAGGATCGAAGTACTGTAAACACTGCTACAGACATACCTCGAGTCACTTACTGAATCAGAACTACAAAAGTGGTACGGTATCAAGCTATAAGAGGTAAAATTATATTTTTCCAAACGGTACAATAGAAACGACTTCAAATGCTAGCGCCCCTCTCTGTGAGAGAGAAGAGAATGTAACACCCCACCGCGAGGGAAGAAGGGGGGGGGGGGGATGCGACCGGACAGGGAGAATCCCTCCCTCTAGAGAAATGATTACAAAGTTGAAAAACTACGAAAACACAAAAGGGCAATAGGGGGAGCATCTGTTTTCCACGGATCAAAATGTGGCTTGAGGAGATGGGCAGGAACCAGGCCAGGGTGAGACTTAACAGATTGCTGAATAAATCAGGACGTACACATACACACACATAGCCCGGATGAACAACTGCACCCACAGCAAAGAGCGAAATCAAAGGGATTCTGGTCTTTTGTGAGAAGGCGAGCCAAGAGGAGAGAGAATTTCACGTAAAAACAGAGACGCGACGCATACATCGCTACTACTGCAAGTGACAGAAGACTACGACACGCGACAGGGAGTACTGCGACGGGCAGACTCCGGGGCACGGCCTCGAGCTCAACAATGGGTGAGGTGATGCTCGGTGCCAAGTTCGGCATGGACCGACAGAGTATCGCTGAAAGTTGTATTCTACATTCATCCTGACGTTTTGAGTCACTTGCAAAGTCAAGGATTGCGATAAGTTGTATTGTACTAAGCTTTCACAGTTCTGTAAGAGGTGTGCGAATACTATTTACAAGTTTTGAGAGTGAGTGCCAGCTCCCACGAGCAGCTGCAGCCCGAGAGAAAGAGTGACGAGCAACGTCGAGCAATCAACCGGGAGAAAGGGCGGAAAGCGCCAAGCATCGACCAAGCCAGCATCGCAGAGAACCAGCCGCACGCGCAACCGGGCATCGCCAGACAGCACGGAGCCAGAGAGAGAGAGCGCAGCAGCGCCACCAGCGCCACCGAGCAAGGGTGTCAGCTGCCAGTGGACAAGCGGCGAGCGCTGTCGTGCACCTTCAAAGACAAGCGTCGTGCCGACTCATCCAGCAGGGGAAAGAGCCTGACCAGCTGCCCGTGAGGAAGAGGAGAGCACCGGCGAGAGCGCCGTGGGTTCGACCCACACACACCGACCAGCACCAGCTGGGAGCCAAGACAAGAGTGAGGAACGGCGGCCGGCGGACGAGCTGCGGGTGCTCTCTGACGACGGAATCATCGCGTCCTTGAAATTGATTGGTCGTGCGCCTTTTGGCGTCATCTGGTCCAACACCATGTGAGACTAGGCTCTAAGAAAAGCTGTCTCGGGTGTGGACCAATCAATTTCAAGGACAGTGCATATATTATCAGAGTTGTGTCTTTTGTTTGCATTCCGACCGCAGGTATTGTGGTTAATGCAAACATGACTCCTTGTAAAAAAAGGTGTCAGTTTTGTGGCCAGATAAAAGGGTAAAAAAACAATTATCATATTTTGCTACTGGCAAAGGAGGTTCCAATGGTGTAAATTGAAGGTCAGTTATATAGAGTGCTACAGTGACATAAAGCAAGGTGTTTTATGAGGTAGTTTTGTGCAAGAATCACTGCTGTTAATATAGTGCTACAGTGAACTGCAGTAAAGTGTTTGATGACATACTTTAGTGCAAGATTCACTGCCATTAAATTGACACAAGATAACAATTATAGTCTGCTAAATATTTTCGTAAATATTATTTGGGTCTTCCGTCCTAGGACGGACCAACAAGCTAGTCAAGTAATATGCACTGTGATTGTTCAAGTTTGGACCGTGATGCCGGCACACGATGGCCCCCGATTCATTCCAAAAGGGGCCAAATTGTGGGATTTTAGTAACGTGCCCAACAAACAAACATCCGGTCAGAAGATGCGGATGCCGAATGCACGCGTGGAAAGTAAAGGACTCTCACTCTCCTCCTAGTGTAGCAACTGTGGCTACGGACACCAAACATTGGGCCACACAGAACCTCGCCCTCCCCCCGATGTAAATTTGAAGGCAGTTTATTGAGGGCACCACGGTGGTGAGATGTTAACTACCTCGCCTGGTATACAGGCAAATTGGCTGTGTTGGGTGGAGGTGGGTTTAATGATACATTTATATATTTACGCGATCTAACCCAAAAAAACCTGTATTATGGATGATATACAGCAGGTCGTGGGTTCGATCCCGACCGTGATGTCTGTTGTATATTTGGATTTTGCATGGTCTCTCTCCCCGTGGCTCACATGGATTTTTCTCCGGGTTCTCCGGTTTTTCCCCTTTCACATTTAGAAGCATGCATTTGGAGTATTGGTTGCTATGCATTTCCACGTGGTGATAAGCCACTTCGTTCAGCTATCATTAATGATGGCCAGGTCGCTTCTGGAAAAAGAGCTACCTAGCTCAGTGGGCCCTTACCTGGGAAAATAAAAATAAATAGTTTATAGTTTTTAGTATAAAACACACTTTGACATTTGAACCGCACACGCACCTAACGGGAAAAAATATAAACCACACGCCGTACATTCATAGGCACATTCCAGGCCAAGTAAACGTTCCTCTTGTAGTCGTCCATCCAGATCTCGGCCACACGCAGCGCGTTCCTGCGCATGTGGATGCTCAGGTCCGGGGCGTACGGCTTGAAGTAGCGCTCGATGTGAGCCAAGCGCGAGCAGGGCAGCACCTCCACGCGGCCCCCGCACTGCCACACCTGGACACGAGGGGGGGGGGGGGAATGGGGGGGGGGTGAGGTGGGGCTGGTCACCAATAGCCCGGCCACTCCCACTGCCCCCTCTGAACAAGGCAGGCGGGGGCAGCGCAGTAAACTCAAAACACCCATGCCGGTCGATGTATATGTATGGCACACGCATGAGTGAGTGGGTGGGTGGGTGGGTGCGTTCAAGGTTGCGTCTCTGCGTCCTCACCCTGAGGCCCAGCTCCACGTTCTCCCCTCCGTACACCTGCATGCCTTCATCCAGAAAGCCGATCTCCTCCAGGTAGCTCTTGCTGGCCGCCATGCAGCCCATCACAATCGGGCTCCTGGGGAATGGGGGTCAAAGTGTCAACAGTCATCCTGGTCAGGGCACACTCGATTCGTGATGACAAATTGTTGTTGTGCAAACGTTGCAAAAGCACTGCCCCCCTAACAATCCCAACAGCTCGAGATCACGTGTCTGCACACTGAACGTTTGGAGAATTGTGCTCGTTAAAAGAGATATGTCCCGATGTAAGGCGATAAGAAGATACAGATGTCACACTACTGGAATTTAAACACAATCATAGAGATTAAGTTATCGTATTATTATTATGACTACTAGGTTTCTTTATGCAGGAAATGATCACCGACTCAATTTTGTTTTCAGGGGGTTCCTGCTAAGTTTTCACAATAGGAGGATGTGATGTTGCTGCTACACTGTTGTGTGTGATGCTGATTGAGTTAATTTGCAGGTCATTTTTCGAACTTTGGGGATGTGGTTTTAGCCAATACCAGTTTCACTGTATGGCTCTCTTCTAGCTATAGAAGGAGGAGCCAGAGAATCTGGAAGAAACGCATTGCAGATCAAACTCCACTCAGTAAAGGTGCCCAAGTTGGAAACCAAACCGAGGCTCTTCTTTTTGTGAGGCACGGAGTGCGACCACTATGCCGCCCTGACACTTGTGAACAAGAAGATCTTACCCCAAGTCTTGGCGCGGTTACCACCACCGGCGATTAGTGTCATCATTATGCGGCACAACTAAAGCTCCAGATACCAAAAGGTGCCACTCTGATAAATTCTGTCCTGGAGTTGTTCTCGGGCTTTTGCAAAAAATAAAATAATACAAGATCTTGTCATGGTTTCAAATGCTCTGGCCTTGTGGACATGACTTTCCAAACGTCGGCAGGCTAGTGTCATTGTTGAGCCTCCCAATACATTTGGCAGCTGTAAGAAAGGTGAGACCCCCTCTCGCCCCCCACCCCCGGGGAGTACCTGATGGGGGCCGTGGGGTCATTGTTGGTGATCCAGTCGAGGGGGGGCTCTCTGTAGTTGCACCACAGCTGCCAGGTGAACGTCTGTGCCTGTGACTCGTAGCGGTTTACGACGAACGTGTCGTAGTGCGTGTTGTCGAACACCGTGGAGACCACCACACGGCGGTCCTCCTGGATCCGTGCCAGGATCGGCTCAGCCCTGCCGGGAGGGGGTGGGGGGGAGAGATCGATCGTCGCCGCTCTATAGTTCACCGTCTTTCCCCAACCGACCAAGGGGTGAAGGCGCCCGGTGCTTTCGTGGCAGTGCCGCCAGGGCCCAGCACCGGCACCAGGACCGGATTATGACATTGCTGGGCCCTATGGCATAGCACGCTTAAGAGGCCATTTACTGTCGATATAATTTCGTCATATCAGAACAAAAATAAGCATTTTGGAGAGTCTTTATACCCAATCTCCTTTGTTTTTCAACTGATTAGGTAAAACTTGAAACTTTGTATTTAAAGGCCCCTTATAATGCGAGGCCCTACGCTGTGAGCTTACTCGCCGCTTGTGGTCAGAGGGTCAGGGTTTGAAAATCCAGCGGCTGCCAGTACCCCTGGTCCAAGTCAACGGTGCAAAGGCCCAGAAGTAGAAACGGGCCGAGTTTCTGGAGGACAGAGAGTTTGGGACTCACCAACCGACAGGGAACTCCACGTGGGCATCCATAATGGCCACCACAGGCCCCTTGGCCGCCCGGATGCCGGTGACGCGCGACGCGCTCGGACCCCTGTGGGACGCGTGCCGGACGAGGCGGATGGACACCTCCGGGTACTTGTGGTTCAGCTCTTCAATCTGCACGTCGAATGATTCCTTCAGGTCGGCTGTGAGTATGAGCGCGGGGCGGCACGGAGGCACAAGACCGTGGAGCCGGGTGGGGGGGGGACAGGGGGAGAGAGAGAGGAGTGGCAATAGACGAGGCCAGGAGTGCCACGGCTGTGGTCAGGGCTCTTGAATGAGGCTGAGCGACACAAATCTGAAATTCCAGCTCTCAAACCCTAGTTCTACCCTACCCCCATTTCCTAAATCTAACCCAACCTGAACCAATCTCCAATCATAACTCTGTTCCTAACTTTATCCTTACTTATAGCCCTACCTCTGAGCCAAATGCTCTTTCCTAAGCTTACTCTAGGCCCAAGTCTAATTCCTAACCCTACTCTAGGCAAAAGTCTATTTCCTAACCCTACTCTAGTACCAAGTCTATTTTCTAACCCGACTCTCGACCCAAGTCTATTTCCTAAACCTACACTAGGCCCATGTCAATTTCCTGAGTCTACTCTAGGCCCAAGTCTATTTTCTAACCATACTCTAGGCCCAAGTCTATTTCCTAACCCTAACGGCTTTAACCTCTCAGCTACCCGGCCACCTTCTCTCAAGTATTGGGGGAAGGGAATTTCTCTCTGGTCACCACCAGTCCGGTAAATGGCATCTGTGCTTGGGTGGCAGAAATTGATTTGTGGTTGAGAACCGGCGCAAATGTATTGAACGTATTGCGGGAAACTGCACAGGTTTGATAGACCCGGGCTGACAGAGAGAAAGAGAGATCCGTCCCTGAGTTTTCTTTGTGGCAGAGGAGGTGGGGGTAGAGGAGGTGGAGGCAGAAGAGGAAATGGAGGATGAGGAAGTGGAGGTGGTTTAGGAGGTGGCAAAAGAGGAGCAGTAGGTACAAGGGGAGGTGGAGGAGATGGAGGAGGTGGCATCCCTGCAGCTCTTACCAAAGTCGCTGCAGTCGTCGACGAGGATGACTTCGTTGAGGAGGTGGCGCGGCGTGTTGCGCACGGCGGAGGTGACGGCGCGCAGCAGGATGGAGACGGCCTCGTTGTAGAAGATGAGAATGACACTGAGGCCCGGCAGCTCCGATGGGTACCGCTTGGAGCTGCAGCTGTAGGACCCAGGTGAATCGCAGTGGAACGTCGATTAAAGCCGGCCTGGTTTGAGGGGGCCAAGGTAAGCATCGGTTTTCGTCATTATTTGCCATCATCAAAATCATTGTCGTTGTTGTTAAGGAGGACGGTGGCTCAGGGGTTATAGGGCTGAGCCTTTACTGCTGAGATCCCAGTTTGCAATCTGGCCATCTTTATAAGCCACCCAAATGTGATTACAGGCAGAACTCGCCAAACGCTGCGGTTACGTTCCTGTGAAATGGTGTTGGGCAAGTACTGTGCGGTTAATGTCGACTTGACTTGAATGTTTTTACCTACGTGACTTTACCGAAAAAACTTAAGAATATGAATCCTTGCAGTCACGAAAGCTTCAAATCTAGAATTAGACTTGACGCCTTGCAGAGTGTATCTATATCGTGTATGAGAATCTTAGCACCTCTTTTATTACCAGAAAGGGTGAAACTATTATTATTTTATACTGGCAAAAGGTCCCGTAGATGTAATGATAGAACAGGAGCTGACCTAGTCCCCTTGCCCACCCCTCTTCATTGTTTGCCTTGGCATGGTATGGCAGCAGATAGCCGTCAGCCGCCAGCCACCATCACCCGGGTATTGTGCAGTTGGGTGCTGCAGTGGCGAGATGTTATCTCCCTCAGCCTGGTATGCAGGAGGGTGTGGGTTAGATCCCGACACCAAAGCTGATCTATATTTGGAGTTTGCGTGTCTCTCTCTCTCTCTCCGTGGTCGTGTAGATGTTTTTATCTGGGTCCTCCTGTGTTTTCCCTCCACATTTAGAAACATGTATTTAGAGCATTTGGCCATGATAAATTAGCACGTTGTGACAAACTACTTCGTTGAGTTATCATTTGGGGTGGCCAGGTGGCTTCTGAAAGAAAGCTACATAGCTGAGTAGTCGGCCTTACCTGATAAAATTAAATAAGTAATACTTAAAAATATATTTTTTAAACACGCTTTAATGAAATGTACCGTACTCGTAATGGCAAAACTCCACGACTCCAGGAAGTGACCCCGAAGCTTGCCATAACGTAAGGGACCGTGGTCAATTACAGCCAACGTCAGTTGAGCGTGGACAATTAGACCCAAGCCGAAACATAACATATAAAAAAAATTGGTAAATTTTTTTTTTATGACAGAATATAGTATTGTCATCAGTATGACATAATTATACCAAGTTTGCAGTCGATAGCACACTGGGAAGTGGGTTAAAATTGAGTTACAAGATTTGAGGATACGACAACAACAACAGACAAAGCGAGTTAAATAAAAGCGTGTAAAAATAGTATAGTTTTAGTTTCGTTTCAACTTTCTTCGTGGTATCATCTCCACTCAACATGTAGGAACATTCCTCATGCAGAATTTGGCTGCACATGATGTGCTTGTTCAAACGAGTTCCCACCCACCCACTCGCCGAGCCACTCATTCACGCAGCCGCAGCGTCGCCGTGAAGATGGCGCGGGTTCGAGAGCACGTGCCATGGAGGTTGAGAAGCACGGCTCTCCAAGAGGCTCAGAGGCAGAAGCTATCGATCGCTTTTGTGTAGCAGCAGCGGCAGCAGATGAGACACGGGTTTTATCTTCTTACAAAGTCCCCGATCTACATTATACTTTTTTTAAATTCTAAAAACTGCAAAGATTTTTGTTATTTTACCAGCTAAGGCCGCACTGAGCTATGTAACTCTTTTTCAGAAACTACCTGGCCATCAGAAATGAGAGCTCAACGAAGTGGCGGCTGATCACGTGGAAGATTGTAGCTGCAGACAAATACTCTAAACGCGTGATGTTGATTCTAAATGTGGAGGGAATAACCAGAGAACATTTCACACCACCGCGGGGAGTGAGAGACACGCAAACTCCAAACATACAGGTGTCAAGGTCGGGATTGAACCCACGATCTCTTGCATACCAGGTGAGTTAGTTAACATCGCGCCACTGCGGTGATTGTGAGGTTTGAAGTGCGAGATGAGAATCGAGCCAGAAGCCCAAGATACTTGGAGGAGCTGTGTCCAGTTCAGAATCAGAATCTGTATTTCTCCAGGAGGAATCCAATGAGCAATAAAGCTGTGAGAATAGGTTTCCCCTTTTTTCTGGCCACAAAACAGTTGTGTTAAGATGTTAAAACACCAAACTGAAACCTTTTACAAGGAATCATGTCTGCATTAACCACGATACTTGTGGTCAGAATGCATACAAAAAACATACTCTGATAATATATCCATTGTCTTTGAAACCGATTGGTCCACACCAGAGACAGCTTTTTTTTGAGCCTCTGGTCTAACACCTGTTTTGTTGCCAGAAAAAATGGGAAAACTTCTTCTCATATTTTGGTACCGACAAAGGAGGTCCCATGATGAGCTATGAAGCTGTTTGTAGCAGGTGTCCACTCGGGCACGGGGTAAGAACATTACAACAACAAACACAATACACAAACACGATATGAGTGCAACGTATAGGAAAGGTACACAAACCACTTAAACATATACAAATACAACCAAACGATGTTTGTATATTACCAGGTAAAGGCCACGGAGCAATTCGCTTATTTGTTTCTAGAATCGACCTGGCCACAAACGATAGCTCAACACGATATGAATGCAAAGTATAGGAAAGGTAAGCAGGAAGAGGGAGGGTGGTTATGGACAAAGTGCACTGGCTCAGATCAGTTTGCATTTGAGTGACGTGTTTATGCCTCCTGGTCAGGTTCAAGCGATTCGTCAATGTGCGCATTGTCTATGATATGAATGTGGCTGTTACACACCTGTTGGTAACATTGTCACACTCCGGACACGATCACACACGAGCATGTGCACGGACACATGCGTATCCGTGTGTGCGTGTGTGGGGAGTGGTCGTGTACTGACAATTGGCATCTTGCGCTGCGAACCCCGGCGACCCTAAATTCGAGTCAATGGCAGTAATGATTATCTGAACTGGTTGCGGGACTCCCCTAGGCCGACTCGGCCTCAAAATGAGTACCTGGTGCCATGTGTATAACATCGCCACTGGGGAGACAAAGGCGGCCGAGCGTTGTGCTGGCCACACCCATCCCCTCGTGTGCCGTGCCGTCCTTCATATGGTGCTGGTAAACAGAAATGGCCCACCAGTCTGTTAAGGCTACACGGGGGATTCTTTATCTTTGGAGAAGTGGTGGCACGGCAGCAGCTGGTGCACGACACGAGGAACACAGTCACCCGAGTTCGATTCCCGCTCAGGGCCAATGCCAGTGAGGATTATCTGAACCGGTCCTGGGGCTTCCCGCGAGGTCGACTCAACCTTAAATGAGTACTTTATGCGGTGAGTAGTAAAACATCGCCACTGGGGAGACAAAGGTGGCCGGGCGTGGTGCTTGTCACCCACCCAGCCACTTGTGCCGGCCTTCACAGCTTCTCGCGATATAGCCCTGGGCCCAACAGCCGGCTTAAGTAAGAATTCGTTTCCCCCCTTTCTGGCAATGAAACAGGAAGTGTTAATATGTTCAAACACCAAATAGTTGCCTTGTCAACAGGCACCAGGTCTGCATTGACCACTCATATTTGCTGCAAAACATGCAAACAAGCAAGCTCTAACAATACACACATTTTCTTTAAACTAAACTACACTTTTTATTTGACCAGGTAAGGCTATGTAGCTCTTTTTCATAAGTAACTTGGCCACAAATGAAAGCTCAACAAAGTGGCTGATCACGTGGAAATTTAGAGCAGCCAAATATTCTTAAATATTCTTAAACTCGTGGTTCTAAAGTTGGAGGGGAAACACCAGGCAGAGATCCTGGAGAAAAATCGACGCGACCACGGGGATGGAACCCCCAACCTCCTGCATGCCAGGTGAGGTAGTTAACATCTTCTAGCCACCGTGGCACCCCAAACTGATTTGAAACTCATTAACCTACACCAGATACAGCCTTCTTGATGGCCTTGTCTCTCTCGACAAGCCCAGAAAGTATGTGTGGTTAAAGCAGACTAGACGATGCCATGAACAGTTCTCCCTTTTAAGTGTTTGAACATCTTAACACAACTCCTGTTTAATGGTAACAAAGGTTGAAATCCTATCCTTTAAAAAAAAATAAATTTGGATCCTGCCAAAAAAATGTCCCATAGCCTGTTAAAGGTTACACGGGAAAACGAGTCTTCGTCAGAACAGGCATGCCCTTTTCAGAGTAATTCTTATTAAATAGGCGTTTGAAACATAAATGCCGAGTGGTTTAAGTAAGATTAAAAAAGTGACAATTGCCTCTCTAAGAGGAATGCACGTGGGTGATGGGGGTTGCCTTAAAAAAAAACACAATTTTAAAGCGAATATAATTGAAAGCCGTCGATTTTGAATAAACTCAGTGGAGTGTTTCGATTTAAAGCTTTCGTGACTGCAGGGATTCATCTTCTTGGTTCTTTCGGTAAAGTCACGTAGAAGAGAAATAATAAAATAATAAAAATAAAACATAATAAGATACAATTCTCACGACGTTTCGGCCACAACGCACGCAGCCGTCCTCAGATGAAGAACAGGTCTGTCGGAAAGACAGCGTCTGAATGAGCGTCTGAATGAGAATGAGACGCTGTCTTTCCGACAGACCTGTTCTTCACCTGAGGACGGCTGCTTGCGTTGTGGCCGAAACGTCGTGAGAATTGTATTTTATTATGTTTTATTTTTATTATTTTATTATTTCCCTTCTACGTGACTTTACCGAAAAAACCAAGAAGATCAGTGGAGTGTATCGTAATTTTAATCTTTCTGTAATGCGGGCGTAAACGGCCCTCCGGAAGTGACGTCATGAGGGGAGGAGTTAGGTCACGTGGGGGAGAGGGGTTAAGCTATAGAGGGAGGGGAACCGGAAGAGGAAAGGGAGTGACGGGAGACCAGGAACGAGAGAGGCCACGAAGGGCGAAAGCGGAGGGTGGCGAGATCGCCACGGACACGGGGAGCGAGGATCGGCACCGTCGGCCAGCGGTGACCGACCCGAAGCAGCGAGGAGGCTGCAGTCAGCA